CGGCTCGTATTATACGCGGGTCCTAACAATTTTCAGCTTCGATAAGGCGCGATCTAACACTGTTTGACATAGTTTCGGTTTCGAAGCAATAAGGCGCTCAAAACAGCTATCGTCATCATTAAAGTACAATGTTCGAGGCGCCACCATCCGGCAACAGTGAGGCTCGGCAAAGGCGTCGGCGCGAAGACGATAATCGACCGCCTTCAAAAGAAAAGTCCTTTTGGTTGCGGAAGGCATCGGCAACAGGGCAGCCGGACGACAATTCGCTGTAAATAAGGGCAGCATCCGCGGATGGAGACGACAAAAGCAAGCTCTGTTTGCGTGCAACGGAACAAGAAGTTTTAGAAGCCCGAAGAATGGCGTGTTCGCCGACGTCGAGGAAAGTCTCAGCGACTTTGTAAAAGAGCAACGTGAACGGCTCTTTGCCCTAACTTTGTAAAAGGGCAACGGGAACGGCAGCTCGCTGTAAACACCGAGCTGCTGCATGAGAACTTTGGCGAGCCGACATTGGGTTACTCGCTTTATGCGCCGTGCCAAGATTTCACTGCATCGGCGCTCGCTCGTCGCTCGTTCTTTCAAGTGCGGGATTTCAAATGCGCTCGACAGCACTGAAGGCTACTTACTGCCTTTGGGAGGAGGCGTCGGACAAGGAGTTTGACGGACGTGATGACAGTGATTAAGGTTCAGTTATGACGCAAATAAGGAATATTTTCGTAGTCCTGATATTGTTTCGTATTATAGGGGATATTTTTTTTTTCACAGTCCTCAAATTATATTTTGTATTATTCGCGAGTTTTTACGGTACTCTTCTACTGGTCCGGCGTTCATTTGTGCTGTACTCTCGTTCCAACAAGCTTCGAAGGGACACAGCCTAAGAGTAGCAATTTTTTAAACTTTTCTTGATTGTACACCGAAAGTTAGCCCACTTCATATTTTCACCCGATTTTCCCTTGAAGTTAGGCAGTTCATGTAGACAGTAACAGAGTCTACATGAACTGCCTCCACTCCTGTCTGGGCTGTATACTGAACTGTAGAATATTTTCAATATAATAACAAACAAGAGCGGCTGGCACTTAATTGAGGAGTCAGAAGTATAAGGATGCTTCAGCTAACTTGTGCCAAGACTTTAAAAAAAGCTGGTGCATGCTATATGTACAAGTTGAACCTATGCAGTATTGTTCACAGTCCTATAGAGCAAGCCATGATACTTTTTGCTATGTGCCAGACTCGCTAAATAACACAAATTAATAAGATAACTTTTTAAATATTAATTTGTGCAGATATCCCCAATACAAAAGTTGTAGTGTGTGTTGAGAAACATTCCGTCATGCTGTTTCCATCAAGGTATCCTTTGAGCGTCTAATTCTATCAAGCTTTAAAAAAAGCCCTCGGGGTTTTAAAAGGGCTGGCGTGACTACCCACAAGCAAGCTGCAATTGGGGACTTTGGGACCTTGGTCACGTGGGATAATTTCTAGATCTCGCGGGCTTTCTTTAAAGCTCGAAACAATTTGATACCCAGAGGCTACCTCGATGAAGACTACACGATGGGAAGTGTCTCAACGCACTCTTCAATGTTTGTATTAGAGGGTTAGGGCACAAATTAATATTTAAAAAGTTAGCTAATTAACCTGCATTATTTAGCCAGTCTGGCACACCGTAAAAGATATCTCGACTTGCTTAAGAAAGCTATGAACAATACTGTGTTGGTTCAACTCGCATAGCGTGCACCACCCTTTTCTAAGTCTTGGCACAAGTTCACTGAAACACCCTGTATATGGTGCAAAAATCGTAGTATATGCAGTAGTACAGTGATTCAAGAAGCATGTAGGTAACTGTTTTCACAATTGTATTTGTTGTGTGGCAGTTTCTCTTCTAAGGGGATCAATAAATTGTCTAATTTAATATTTACATTCATAAATATTGCTTCACAAAATAAAGCACAAGGAAACTAGGGACAATCACCAAAACCAACACCAAAACCTCAGTTGATGAGAGTCAGAGAAAAAGACAGTGGATGCGAGGTTTCGCTCAAACTGAACGCGGGCAATGGCAAGAGACTAAAATTTCACATATACACTTCCAGTGATGCGATTGGTCTAAGCCGTTTTGGAGCACCTTCTGGAGCAGCCAAAACAGAGTTTTGGAGCAGCAAAACTGGCTTTTGGAGCAGCTAAAACAGTGCTTCGGAGCAGCGAAAGTGGCTTTTGGAGCAAATATTCTTAGGAAAAAAAAAAGATATTAATTTTAAGTGGTGGACAAACGAAGGACACACTGCTCGCCGCAATCAACCAATTATTGTCAAGATAGACCACCTGGGAGTCTTTCAACGTGTAACTGAAATGCCAATGACATAACACATTTTGCAATGTTTCAGATAAATGATACGAATATATCGCACCAAACTGCACATATTAAAATGTATTTGAAAATGACCAGCTTAGTAGTAAATAGAGAGTATTAGTAGAGCGTTTTCAAAGGCCCACTACTGCTACAGGCACGCGTTCCGGAGCATGCATCGAAGGGGTAGCGCGAGCTCCAGCTACAAATAGCGTGGTCGGAAAACACGATCTACTAAAACTCTTTATTATCACATAATTAGGTTGACTAGTAATATAATAAATGGAAGCAGTCTCCAACTGATGAAACACCTAACTACTGCCGTGCAATGCGAAATTGTTGCGCGAGCGGAGATGGCTGTTCGACCGAAACCATGCCACTCCGCTCCGTCTCCAACTAATTCCCAAAATTGTATGCAAAGTGTAACTGTCCAACATACGACAAAAAAAAAAAAAAAATTCCAGCGGCACGTGCTTGCAAGGCCAGCAGGCGAAGTACAAGCTAAACACGGACCAAAAAAAAAGAACCCGAGCGCATCGATGCAAGACATCGCGAGCCAGGGTCAAAAAGTTCTTGGAGCGCTTTGTGCAACGACTGAACTCGAGACAAATAAGCACGCTGTGCGGGTTCATCATGCGGACATTGCCTTCTTTGCTTTATCTCACTTTTCTTCAATATCTTTCGCGGCTGATTTTTCACGTACCGGGGTCCGTCTCGAAAGAAAGCCTACCGAGAGAAACCTAGGCAATCAATACTTTGACACAGCAGTCTTTGAGCTAAAGGAATGTTTGTAGTAGCGTATTAAACAAGAACAGGATTGTTGATGAACATGCGGCAGTCCTTACGTTTCAGTTTAGAAAGTGCAATAACTGCAGTGACGTGGGGACGGTAACACCCGACGCCGCGCGACCATGGTGGCTGGCAGGCAGGGACCAAATATAGTTTGGCCACGGTTGTTGCTTTCAGGAGCGAGTGCTTCAGCCCATAAAGTAACCCCCGCCGCACAAAAAAACATGGTTTCGTTTCACAGCATGACGGCATGGCTGGCACCAAGCATGTTTGCGTCGGAGCGTCCGCACACGCCCACGTCTATCATTGAATTTCTTTTTTTTTTAAGATGCGAGACAAGAGACGGTGGGAAAAATCATGCAAGGCCGGATGAACGATTGACGCAGGGTACTTTGTGTCGGACGGCCGCTTGCATCACCTAGCTCATGTGTGCTCAATTACGGTACTCAGTTTAGTTTTGGTTTTTAAAGGCGACCAAAATTGCTCCTTTGGCACAGGCTCGGCGCAGATTACCCATATTTTGGCAAAATGTAGCAGGATGTAGCAGGGTTCGCCCCTTGGCGCAGTTTGGCGCAATTGGCCCAGCAATCACAACACTGCACTTCCATTCTAGTGATGTCACTACCACCCGGAACGGTTGGTAACTTTTAGGACATTCGACTAAGGTTGAGCAGACGATAGGTTCAAGTTTTATGTCAGAGCCAGGGTTCTCCCCACGGTGGGCGGCAGTGGCTTTGCTGCCCACCACTCCGATTGACTGCCCACCGCTCAATTATGCCACAGGATGACGATGCGATTTTGCCTGCGAACATAGCTGCAGACTGTCATACTCAGCAGGCCTGCACATTGCCACGTTATCACGTGTTATCGCATTGCCGACTGCCGCAACTCTTTCAAACAAGGAGAGTGGAGCCGCGAAGCACCGCCGGCAGTGCGGGGAGGGTGAGGAAGGGGGGGGTGTTCGGCCGTGGAGAAACACAAAATGACGCAATGAATGTGCATTGTGCAGCAGTTCTCTCCGCAGGCGGTGTGGCAAAGAGCAGAAAGCGGAGAAGACCTCTTGCCGTGGCTTGCATTATCTTCACATTTTCGCTCGCTCCCCGCCTTTCCTTCCCACTTTCTTTTTTTTTTTTCCAGGGCAATTTGGTTTTTGTTTTATTACCGTTGCATGGCGCCACTCACAGGGCCGCTAAGTTTAGAGAGCCTATGCAAAGTGCATTCTGTCGGCAAGCCAGATCATGCCGCATTGCAAATTACCCTACCCTACCCTACCCCCCCCCCCCCCCGCCCCAAACGCCGCTCGCACGGTGGTGGTTACGTCCACCCCTAAAAAATTCCTGTGGAGAACCCTGGTCAGAGCTTACCAAGAAAGAGAAGCTTCTTGGTAAAAAGAGAAGTGCCCTCAATATGACTGCTCTGTCGATTAAAGAGCAGTTTAAATCAATCAATAATATGTCACTTTATTTCGATTAGAACTTGGTAGATATTCTCAGGGACACCTCAGCAACGTGCTGAAGCCATAAGACTAAACTGAAAATTACCTCAGTGTCTCTTCAGAGCAGTGTTTATCAAATGGGCATCCGTGAACCCTTTAGGGTCCTTGAAGGGCTTCTTGGGGTTCACAAAGCTTTAATTGATGCAAGCTGTCCCTCAGAGCTAAATGGACCAAACCATGTGCGTCGAGAGAGTAGGGCTGATTATTCTACGTTTCAGGGCCTCAAAGATAGTTTGTATGCATTTAATGTTCTTTGTTAATTGTTCTGCCATTGTAATCATCCAATAGCCTTCCTCCAATGCTGGATGAAGGGGTCCCCCCAAGGCATCTCACAAAGGGACAGGCTACCTCGTGAAAGGAAAAGGGAAAAGGACTCGCCGAGTGAAGTGAGGAACTTGCGAACCACGGGCAGGACCACCTTGCGTGATGCATGGCTGTTTCCCTGGACGAAGGTGATGAAGTTGTCCGTGGATGTGTGGGACACCTGCAGGTCCAACGAGGGGTCTCCGACGGCCAGCAACATCGAGGTGAGCTGAAGGAGGATTCACGACCAGAATTTAGAACAGCTCGTTAGAAGCAGGCACACTCTTTGTCGTAACATCATTTGTTTTGGTAAATATATGATTTTCTAACTGTCAAACTTATTGAAAAAGAAATTGTGTCAATGATTTTGATAGATTTAAGGATCATAGGATGTGCTGTGCATGCATGATGCATGTACTATAATAATAACAATAATAATAGTATTAATAAATTTAAAGTACCCCAAAACAACCACAATGGTTTGTTGATTTAAAAACATGATGACATCTCCCATAGAAATGTCCTATTGAAACTTACTCGTGGACAGATTCATTGAGACATTGATGATTAATTGAGGAAACATTTTTTTAGGGCTCAGTTTTTATTTTATTTTTAAAAAGATATACCGTAGAATACCGTGCATCCACCCCCATTCCACATTAAGTACCCATTACCATACTTGTGAGATCTGAGAAAGTACACACAGTACATTTATATGTAAAACTGATGACCGGACAAGTGCCCATCCCCCATTTTTTTGCAATTATCTTCAAAGTTTGAGTGGGCGCTTGCCCGGTATTTTACGGTAATCTCAGAGTTACTTGGGATGAGTGTTATTCAACCTCCCTAATAAAACGTTTACCAATAAAGCTGGCATCTGCTTTATATGTCTGATCCTTTGAATGTGTTACAGAGATAGTATTACAATATAGAACATAAACGACCATGGTAGAACAGACACCAACATCTTCATAAACTGTCACTGTGTCGATTATGTGTGAATGTCAGAATTTTTTAACATTGAAAGACGGGGCTTAATAGCAAAAGTTGATTTTAATACATAGCCAAAAGTGGTAGGTACCAAAGAGGATGATATTAATAACAAAATATTTACGCTCTACATCCAGCTACGCTTTCAAGTGCTAAAAAGTATATGTTAAACAAGCACTCATGCATTTTCGTTATCTGAAAGCATTTTACACGCTACCATTATACTATTTTTCTACCGTCTTTTGCTGGCATAACACAGCAGAATCTATAATATTAGCAAGCGTTCCAAAATGAATACCTGCCCAACCTGTGGACTTTCAAATTCGTAAAAGTTCCGCAGCCGCGGCCGGGGGGGGGGGGGGGGGGGGTGACGCGAAGCGATGTGCAGCTTAATGTCAGCATGGCCAGCATGCGAAACGCCTACATCACACGTGCACATGCTACAGAATCCAAACTTCTCTCGCTTTTTGAGCGGCACGAGGCACAGAAATTTCGACGTGTAGGACTTAAAAAACACCTGAAAGTACCTCTTTTGAGGTTTGGAGTTCAGCATTGCGCCGCGAAGCCACAGTGACCAGGAGAATGCTACAGTTACACGTGCAACAAACACAGACGCCGTACTTCTTGCCTCGAAACTGGCCGAAGCAATGAGGCCCAACAACGTCTGAGCACGCCGAACCAACGTGCACCCGTTCACCGCCGAACACACGAACAAAGGCTTTGAGCTTTGGATTGGTTTTCAATCCGTGGCCACTGGATAGACGGATAGTAAAAACCACGACGCTGCTGTGGACGGTACCTATCGTCCTCTTGTGTCGGTGCAAGAGGACGATAGGTACATTTTATGAAAAATTTGGAAGAGTTGGCAGGTATGAAAATGCATCTTTGGAGAACAGGATGATAAGGTAGCCATTGGTTAAAGTCAGGGAAAAACAAAAGCATGTGGGCGCATTAGGTGGGTAAACAAATGCACAAGGTGTGCAAGGAGCAGACGAAGTTTCACGCCGTATTATTTTACTCGCCACGGAACGTGTTCCAATACGGAAGCAAAGGCCGTCATACCTGCTGCTTGAGCATGATGTCAGACGAGAAGACTGCAAGCTGCCTCTGCACAGTGTTGTCCTTCTCTTGTACGGCCACAGCCAGAATGATCAGGGCACTGTACCCGTGGTCCTCGCAGAACTTGCCCAGTTCCGTTTCCATACTGTTTTCATGGCAAATGTCCTGAAAATGAGACGGGAACTTTTACGAATAACTCCCCTACACACTCCGCTGTCTGCACAATACATTCACGCTTCATTCACAATACCTGCATTCACACAAGAATTGCATTCTTGAAAAAGGTCATGAACTCAAAACACACCATATACGAGGGTGATTGAAACATTATACGCACTCCGGTTTAAAAAAAAAACTCCCGTTGGCCGTACTGTCTTATCTACGTTTTTTTGTATTAGGTCGCTGTTTCTCCAGTCGTTGCTGTGCAGGTTTGATTCTGTTAAGTCGGTTCAGTCATGATTGCGGTGCGAAAGAGAATGGCTGTCCCACTTGCGATTTGCACGAGTGGGACAGCAATATGTTTCCTGGACTGAGGGTAAGTCTGGGGCCGACATTTATCGGACTTTGTGCACAGTATGAAGAAAGGGTTATACTGTGATGAAGTGTGTTTCAATAGACAAAGAAATTCAAGAAAGGACGCACAAGGGAAAGCCATGAAGAAGATGTCGAACTCCCATCCGCGTCCACAACTGAGGACAACACTGAGCGTGCACGTAAAGGGCTGTCCAAACAGGACACTTCACAATTCTTAAGGCGACACGACTCCATCATATGAGGTAAAAGCTGAAATCCGGCAGTCCGTCTTCTGTGTGGACATTCACCAGGCAAACATCACGACTTTCCTCCTCGCCTCCTCCGCTTTTCGGTGACCTCGCTGCTCGTTAGACTCGACGTCACACGCCACCTGCCAATGGTGTGCCTGCTGCCTATCCATCTGTTCTGTCATGCCCTCATATCCTTCCCTTTCTCGTTTTCGGGAGCTAAAGAGCAGCTGAGGCCTTGAGCGATTGACCAACAGCAAAGTGTGTGTGAGTGGCTGTCCGGACCCACATTATGAGCATGCTCAAGACCCCGTGAAGGACACAAGCAAACCTTGACGGAGGGAACCATTCCCCCGGTAAGAAATAAATGGACGAAAGCAGACCGCGCATGACGTTCGACAGAGTTGTGTCGCCTCGCGATTTCTTAAGTATCCTGTTTGGACACCCCTTGGCTCTGTCAGATAGGTGAGCAACAGTGTATGACGTGTCAAAAAATTTCCAAATCAACCAAGGCTCTGCCTATGTGGTAATACACAACAAACTTCAGTTTCAAGAAGTTTTGAATGAAATAAATTTTAGAGCCATGAGCAGATAATTTTTTAATCACACTCGTAGAAGCTTGGTACAATGCTAGACTGTGTCAAGTTTAATGAGAAGGTTGAAATAAAGTGGCGTTAAACTTAAAAGGATTGTCCGGTCCAAACCGGAAGTACTAAAGCTTTTGCGCTCGTTACGCCGAGGGAGCCTTCACGTAGACAAACGTCATTTTTCTTTTGATATATAATCTCCAGCTATTAATTAAAACTTTCATGAGCGTATGTATGAAACTGCACCCCGAGTTTTGCCAGTGTCAATGACTGACATCCGTAGCTGCTGCGTGACGTCACAAAACGCAAAAGTTTGTCGGATGGTCGGTATAACAAGCGTTCGCCGACGGACGTCTTGTATTTTGATTCTAATTATACAGCCTCCTAGGCTGTACCGTAGTGATTTACGGTTGTTTTAATGCAGTTCCCAAGCATTTGCAAAAAAAGTCACGCCTTTTAGCAGGATATTACTCAAAAACAGCCATAAGCTTCGAGCAAACGTATGCCGTTTAGCGCAAACACAACTGCGAAGGCCACCGATCAAACTAGGAGCGCTTGCAATTGCAAGCGCTCCTAGTTTGATTGGAGCGCTTGCAAGATTCCGCCTCTGAAACGGCAACTAGGTACACGAAGCGGCATCTGGGTGCACATTTTGGCGGATCCACTGGATCGGTGATGAGGCTGCGGGTCGTTCCTTCGGAGGCGCAGTTCGAAGGCAAATGGCGAATCGTTCAAATGAATGTCACTTGACTTGGATGAGCTTGGTGAATCGTAGCCACGCTCTATTCTCACATGCGGGTTAAAGGAAAGATGGGGCACTTCTACATTTGAGAAAAAACGCTTAAATTGCGTTCATTTGGCCTTTAGAATAACAGATATCAAAATTATATTTCAATGCGACGCGCCGGAGAGCCACAAGAGCAATTTCAAAACAGGGCTGAAGCCCCGCCCCCCTAGCCTTGGGCAGCCAAAAGAGCCGTCGATGACGTCACGGACAGCGACTGTCTTTCGCGTTTTTCTCGCGTTTAACAATACTTACGCAGCAAATGGTTTGGGTATTCGGGTTCACGGGGTAAAAATACACTAGGATTCACTTCTAACTCATTTTTTCCAAGAAGCTCCGTAGCTTCCCTTTAAACAGAATTTGGATGCACGCGTGCCAAATACAACTTCTGGTATCATTTCCAGGTGGTCGAGCTGTTGGTTTCGGTTTCGCTGCATAATCAAATTGATTGATCCGATTTGGGCAAGGAGTGGATGAACGTAGTTTAATATCGTTGGCACAGCATCGAACTTCAGCTTACGAGCCCTCTGTCCGCTTAGAGCTCAGCTCGTAGCTCTCTTTTGTGAGATGATTGCTGCATAAGCGGGATCTCGATCTTGACGGGAACCGAGTCTCTATGCACAGCGACGATCCATTTTGCTCATCACTGCATGTCTCGTGGAAAAGTGTGGAACGTCATGCCTTGGCTCGCATGTGCTGCCCGGTAGTTGTGGCACCCAATCGCGCAACAAAAATCTCACCCAACCACGAAACAAGTTGAGCACTAGACAAAAACGAAGCACGCTGAGGCGTTCACTTGCAGGTAAACGATGACACAGAAATGCTCGCTTTGTGTTGCGTGACGTCAGAGCTCCAATGTTGCCACCGAAAGCAGCGTTTACGCTAGAGTGCAATTGGAGCAGTATAAATTCAATTACTCATGCAGTGGGGCATATAAAATTCAGGTATTGCATGTACGATGCGTCTCGAGACAATAACAATAATATTCAATTGTTTTTTCAAACACAAAATTTTATCAGACAATCCCTTTAATTGATCCATTGCACAAAAGTCACTTTATGTCTTTACATGGCGGTGGCGTGAGCCACCGCTATATGAAGGGGGGGGCTCGAAACCCCGTACCCCCCCCCCCAAAATGCCGAAATGCCATATAGGATGACTTCAAGAACGACGCAAAGGACAGCATCGTCCTTGAGCATACGATTGAGCGGCGCATGCTCAATTGTACTTTTATGGCCATATACACCGCTTTTTTGCTCAATAAGGCAAGGAAGGCTTTCGCTTTAAAAAAAAAAAATGCCCTAAATGGAAAACTTGATGTCGAGAACGGTGAAATCGTCAACCAGCGGAGCAACAGGACAATCACCATCATCCTTTGTATAAACAGAACCAAAATAGCGACTGAAGCACAATGCCATTGTCTGACAGTCTGAGATAATATTGTTTTCTACTTTAAGCATGCTAATCTGGGGACCTTTAAGTGATAAGTGTCTCTAAAATTTCAACGGATTGGATTTAAAAAAATTGTGAAGGGTGTAGGTGTAGTACAGGAACTTCGCTTCGTGCACCAGAGTCTGAAGGCCCACTTTAAGCTGCTCCAGAGTAAGTCGACTGATTTAAGCACTTGAACTTCTTGTTTGTGAGATGTTTCGCTTTAAATTAATTATATCTCGACTAATCCAAGGATTGTGCTTGTTACAACGCTTTTTTACCTAAGGGACAAAGTTGGGCAAACATTCCTAAGTATATCCCTCAAACATATTCCAACCTCTATGTCAGTGCTGGGAAGAGAACTAGTGTGGGTGAATATGTCGTAACGTATCTCAAGCAAATCGAGGACACTCCTGTCGCTTGCCCTTGAAAAGTCGAGAAACCAGACGGTTTGGGCCTCCTGTACGCCAATTTCAGCAAGGATAATTTTCGTATTGCTACTATGAGCTAGAGAAAATGCATGCCTAAATAGTATGAATGCAGTACTACATCTACTATCATTACAATTACTTATTATACCTTGAGATCTAATAAAATCATCATACAGTCGACAATTTTCAGTTAGTTTGAAGCGGGGTTGCAATCCCGGCAATTATACGCACAAGCCTATGGAAGAAATCGTGCAGTAATTCAAAGTTTAACTCTGGAACTGGTTAATTCTAAAAATCTTTTTACATGCTCGAGAAGTTAGGCAACACAGGGAGTGTGAAAAGAGCCTCACAGTTGCACCAACCAAACATAAAACACTAATCCTGGGGAAAAAAAAAATTTTTTTTTCTACCTAACGTAGGATACCGCACATCCGCCCCATTCAACATTAAGCGCCCATTACCAAATTTGTGAGATCTGAGAAAATACGCACAGTACATTGATATGTAACATTGATGACAGGGAAAGCACCCATCCTCCATTTTATTGCGATTATCTCCAAAGTGTGAGCGTAACAAAATGTAACAAAATAAATGTTCGTCGGAAAAAATAAAAGTTTTTTTAAATATACATGTACAACATGAATTTTTCTATTCGGCAGTCAAGCCTATCCATCAGCCAAGCAATGACAAGCCAGCATGACTGCCGGTGCACGCATCATGACATTGTTCCCACAGAAGTTAGGGAAGCCAGCCCTATGAGATGTTTGAACCATCAAGTGTACTGATGTCAACAAACATGCTGTGATCAATAGCCCGCTTTTAGACCATTCAATTGTGCAAGTGGTTAGGCCTAGGAGCGGTCACATTGCTTTCCGTGCCTAGTGGCCGAGTGCCATCGACGCGGAACCTGCTTGTGGCACCACGGAGTACGATTCTGCAAGTTCTTTGATGTAGAAACTGCCGAAGTCTCCCGTTCCCTGAGAAAGGTTTACAATTTGCAGAGCGTAGTTAACACTGCACGACTTCATTAGGGGAATTTCGCGAGTCTCCGTTTGCAGAGGCAAGCATAAATCAACTTCTCCCGGTGAGTACTGAATAAAAAGCAAACTATTTGCGTATGTGTTTTTTTTTAAATTCAATGTATGCTTAAAAGGACACTGGCAGGATATTTATGCTCCGCAAGGTTTTTATTTGTACATGACACATGAGTGCCCAACTACCAGCAACACAATTTTGCAGCTTGAAATTTGTTTTCTTTCCACCCGAAAACCACCGATCGAGAACTGGTCATGTGACGCGTTTTCTATGGTTTAGACCAGGGGTGGCCAGGGTGACCCAAGCTAAGAGCCGCATAGGAAACAACGAAACTTTTAAGAGCCGCCGAAAAGGGGGGGGGGGGGGGGGGGGGTCAAAGCAAAAACCGTTGCCTCGCTGCCTAATTATGCCGCCCCCCCCCCCCCCCCCCCCCGAAAGCATAAAAGAGCAGCTCGCGGATCACAACTGCAAGCAGGTAAGAAGAACAATGAGAATGTTCCTGGTCCTTTGTGAACTTTAACATAACGTCTCTGACTAGTGGAATTTATGAATCAGGTCAACCCGGGCTTCAGCGACCTTCAACAAGAAACGATAGGGAGGGAACAATCGTTACCTAAAGGGGACAAGTGTCACTGGCGAGTGACAAAGGCCGTGAGAAAACATTTCTTCGGCCCCAAGCCAAAGTGCATGCATGTTTTGACAGTCCCGGTCCTTGATGTCTTTCCCCCTATCGTCCGGCAAACTCTCTCGAACAATAAAAGAAACAGGATTTGTGGAAACATACGAGTGAAAAGCGGTTCGACTGTACGTATGGGGGCACAAGGCCGCCAAATTGCAAGCTGTTCTTTATTATGAAATACTTTCCTTCTTTCCTGGGGAAACGCGGAAAGGGAGAGGGGGGGGTCTTCTTACGAGGGATCCACGAGCCGCACCGTTACCAGCAAAGAGCCGCATGCGGCTCGCGAGCCGCGGTTTGGCCACCCCTGGTTTAGACACAACCACCAAAGATAATCAAAGTCGTGAGTCATCGAAGGCACACACTCAATACTAAAAATAGAGAGAAAATACGATACCCATTTGCAAACTGCAAATACGTTAACTGAAAAGAAAAAAATTCGGAGGACACCTAAGCACTTTTTAGAAGTTGTGAATGCGAAAGCATGAATGTCGTTCTTCCACTCCCTTAGTTTGTCTGTGATGTACTGCTGTAGACGATGACGTTTCGCTACTGCCGAGGTTGCTCAGCGCACACTCTTGTGAAGCAACCACAGCCCCCCCTCCTCCGGCAACGCCTGACACGAGAGCGGCGGCCAAGCGCGCGCTCTCGTGAAGTGGCCACCAGTGGCTATCTAAGAGCCGTTTTGCTCAGCCAATGGTAGAATGAGCATTTCTTCCGCATTTCTTTGCAGTTACAGACGCCACCGGTTCCGCTCTATGGGATTGTTAATGCTTTCGCATTAAAAAAATGGTTGCACAGCCACGTGACTTCCGGCAACGCTCTCCTCTATATTTCTTCTTCCTCCCCAGTTCAGTTTCGGTTTCAGTTTCGAGCAGTTGTGTTTTTTTACTTTATTAAAAATGTATGTGACGCTGTAGCAAAATATTTATTGAGTAGTCTCGCAACACCATGTTAAACCGCCCAGCAAAACTTTTTTTTAATTTTGAGAGGTGTTAGTATGCCTTTATTTCGGAGCATTTCGCTGTCCTTGTGAGCTTCAAATTATCGGGAGTCAACTGCACAAGGATTGAAAGTACCGTTATATAAAACAAAAACATTGCCAGTTCCTTGCTGTGTCCTGCAAGTGAACTGCATGCTCCCCTGCACACAGACTACACAGAATCACACAGCACACCGGGCATTTTCCCTCCTACTGAATTTAGCGGAGAAATATTTCCACCCTATTTAGCAGAAAAATTTTACCTCCTACGGTTTCAGTGACGTCGTGCGACACTTTGACATTGCACGACAGCCCTACACGAGACATGCCCGGAATCTGATGCGAAACCCTGCTCGTAACGGCCGACGCCGCAAAAACAAAAACACTCAGCCGCAGAGGGTATACACGAATGAACCTGTTGTCCCAAACTCAGGAATTACCCCAATTTTGTTTACTTTTCACAAGCACACCTCACCCAGAATTTGCATATGCAACAAAGATCAAAGAGAAGTAGAGAACCATCTAATATTATATCTTAGATCAGTTTGAGAGGAAGGGATTACCTTTATCTCGCCAGGCACGGAAGATATGGCAATGCGCTTAGTAGGCGTGCAAACTGTCTTGAGATCCTTCCGGAGCAGCTCGTCCAATGTTAATCCTGAAAGAGCATGCAACAGAATTGGTGTTCTAGACTTGCGTCCGAGCTGCGACATTCAATGCAGAGTTAATTTATCAGTTCTCTGTGCAATTCTTGCGTTCCAAGATGAAATCTGATCCTTTGCTAATACCTTTTTTTCTTTATCGAACTAAAATGTTTTGTTTTTATTGAGTTGCACTATTCCAGCTTTGATTAGAAGTGGTACAGCAAGAGGACCGAGACGACCGCACAAACGAGGAACCCCAAAAAGGGTGACACAAAGCAGACACTTGGGGCAAAGATCCCATTAGTTTTACCACACATGACAAAAGTTCCACTACTATATATTCAGTGTTATCTTCAGAATACATGTCTCACTCCGCACAGTATTATACTACGACCTCCATACACCTTGCACACGAAAAAGTTTGTTATTATTCTTTTATTTTGTTTAGCGAGTGCTTGCATAGACGATATGTTGGTGATTTTTTATCATTTTTTTCTGTGTGGATTTTCTCTGCTATTTTTATAGCATGTACAAATGTGCATTTGATTTTTTTTTTTTTTTTTTCGCTTTGTGCAGTGTTCTGTATTTTATATTTTATATTCCTTGCCCCCCTCCCCTTATGTAATGCCCATTGGGCCTTTAAGGGTTGAATAAATAAATGAAATGAAGCAGAATACTTTTACGGGCCAATGTCTTATGTTGTTAAAAAAAGCATAATAGCAGGGCCAGGTCCTTTACAAAAAACACTTTGTTCTTCATCAGGAATTGAACCGCAGACTTCTGTAGTCCAAAGCTCCACCCCTGTGTCAGTGGAGCGATTTTGATTAGTGTTGCTACAGCTATTATGTACTCGTGCTGCCACAAAAAAGTATCACCCTAATATCAAGGGGGAGGGGGGAAAGGGGGGTCTGCGTGACGTTCAGTGGTCATGTAATCACTCCATAGGTCACGTAATCACACCGTGATGCCACTTCACACCTGAATGTGACATTGGGACATTGCATGACAAACACGACCAGTGGCACATCGACGATGTCATGTGAGCATTGTCCCCTAAATTTAGCAGGAAAAGCATTCTGCATATCTCCAACTTCATATATGTAGGGGCAAGGATACCTACCTAGGTACGTCTTGCTTCTTGCCACACACAAGGCACAAGCATCAGGAAGCAATGTGATCAGATGACACTTTGGCAAGAAGTATCAGTGAAGGCATTAAAGCAAGTTCTTCAAGTAGACATGTGTTCCTACTCGTGGCTTATTCAATTTCAAGGGCATTGCTGATAGAAACTTCCATACAATCATAGGCAATTCTTTAAATGCATGTTTTCGCACATTTGTAGTGATGCTTAAATAAACAAAGGGTTTCAGTATTGTTTCTGTGGTGTTGACTGCCCAATCTTCTCCTGTGCAACCAATTGCTTGCGAATGGTTGGCAATTGGCAAAACATTATTGCGTAAGAAGCTTAGTAGTCCTGGGCAAGCGTGAGAACGGGCTTGCAAGCTTGTTAGCATGCTATCATGTTTACAGTTGAGAATTTGCGTGGTTACATCCCAATTGGCTGATTTATCCAGCATAAAGTCTAAAATAACTTTTAGGGATGACGGTGTTTTTTTATTGTTTTTTTCCACTTCGTGTTTACAATCATTTCTATAATGTGTGCCAGATGTACTTATCCGCAGAACTTCAGTCAAGCTTTTGTCAAACTTCTTACTAACTCTTTCCCGACCACACCCATAAAGCGCCAATCAATTGTACTTGTCGGTGCAAAGAACCATTTAAAAAATCTCGCAGAGTTCTCACATTCGCTGTGTGTTCTCGCAAGTAGATTGAAGACTACAGTTTTGGTTCCCTTGTTGCTCTTTCCCCGTCGCCTTGGGTGCGCGTTTGGCAAGCGCTCGCAAAGTGGCGATTCTTACAAATCCTCCACCCATTTATCGGATTCAGATAGCAGCGTGGGCGGGATGATGAAGCCAGTTAATCCTATTTCAGTCTTGATGACCTGTAATTCACCCCACTAAGAAACTATGGCATGTCAGTCATTTGAAGTTAACTTAATTTTTGGTAGCTTTTTTTTTTGTTGAGATTTATGATTTATTTACCTACTTAGAACCAAGTTTTAGAAGAAGAAAAGAAGTGTTTGACTGATCAAATTTTGCATTAGAATCCAAGTCTCTGCTTTAACGTTTTCATCATTCAAAAGCCCATTATTTAGCTTCATTTATGTCTATGGCATCATAGTGTAAACCTAATAGTTTCCTCAGAAAAAAAAAAGTAACAAAAAGTTGAACTAAATTAGCACATTTCTCATGGTCAGGTAGAAGTTAAAGGTTTGAAAAAGTTGCCTTAATTAGTGTATGTAGGAAAAGGGACACGACGAAAGAATGTTTTTGTTTTTGCACCGATCATAGCTCTCCCAATCGTGTTAAGTAGAGATGGAAATGTGAAAGTCGGGTAGCCGTCAATGACGGTGCCATTCCAGATCACCTGCAACGTTTGTCTTGGCCTTGTTGAGGGACTTAAAAACCTCGTCCATTGTCAGCTCAGGCAAGAGGGCCTGCAGTCTGGCCACCACGTCCCTGTCCTTGGCGGTGGTCTTCCTAGCAGCCTCAGAGAGGCACACAGTGTCCAGGAGAATTGTGCCTGGAATCAGAACACCCAAGAACAGTGTGGAAAATGTCAGAATCCCCCATGCTCCACCTAGACTTTTGGTCTATTCTAAGGGTACCAAATTTTGCAAGGTGGAAGATATGAAAAATCCACAAGTGTCTATGTGGGGTGACAGACTCTTGTCAAAAACTAAGTATCATCCTCTCAAAGGTTGTTAGAGTACTGATAAGGGTTCCCCTTGCCTTCGTTCAATGCACAACAAACATCGTCCTCAGGTTCACGTTTGAAGAAAACAGTGACAGACCACGATAGTTTGGTAAACTTTTGCAGCCAAGTGCAAGTAATTTTAAGGTACAAACAGCTTGTGACTGCCTCCACAAGCCCCCCAAAAAAGTGAAGCTCCATCTCAACGATTCCTCTCAGAGGATCAAGGCGTTGCGGCCGGTGGCAATTGAGCCGCCATGCCCTGGCTCTACCAGATCCGCAGAAATACAAGTCAGGAAAAGTTCTTTCGTGCTATCAAAAGAAAGCGTGACTGTAGTGATTATCCCAAAACCTCTCAGAAACGAGAAGGTGTAATACGGTCCTACACCTCAGCAAAAAATGTCGCCAAAGGCACGCAATAGCGTTGTTCAGGTAGCCGTGTATTCTAACTGATGCTTTTTATATTTTGAAATTATTGGAGGGGGGCCTACACACAATCATGTGTGCTCCTATGAATGTTCGTTCGTGTGAATTCAAAAAAACTTCTGAAAGAAGCGGGGAGTCAGAATATTGTTTGTGCAATATTGACATTGTGCCCGACTTTTTACCGTGACCATTTTTTTTTTTTTTTTTTGTGAGTGGCAGGTGATTAGCAAAAATTAGGTCGCCACGTAAATTAGTTTTTGGCAGGCATGAAAATGGGCTCCGATGCCCACGAACATGCCATTGTGATCACATTTGACAAGGTGTGTGTGATGACATCTGAATTCGCTGATGTTTTAAATGCGCATAGTTTCAATAATCTTTTTGTCTAACAAATAAAAAAGTAACCAGTGTTTATGCACTCATTTATTTTTTTTTGGTAGGGCGACTTGTGGTGATCATCTTTTAATCAATTTACTCCAGTCGGTGGATTTCACTACAAGTTTCGCACGGAAACGTGTTTTGTGTTGCAGCATTGTTTTTCATAAAGAGAACTAAGTAAATTTCACACCAGTAAAATGTTCTCATCTGCTTGTTTATCCATTTTCTTGCTGCGACATCACTGAACCGAAATTTTTTTAGCTGATCTTAATAAACAAGAACGTGAAACTAGTATGTTGCTTATGAAAACCAAGCAGCGAAACTACCTTCTCTCAGAGTTTCTCGGCACTGCCGTTACACAGCGTCAATTTCGCTGGAGTCTCCAATACTAACTGCGTAATCATGAGCTTACCATACAAGAGCAAGGCAACTTGGGGATTAATGAGATCTGCTCTTGAGGACAGGACCTTTTCAGCAACGAGGGTGCAGCAGGAACCAACCATTTCCACAGTCTTGTCACATCTAGGTACAGATGAGAAAGTGAGGTATCGATGAACCTGCACTTTTAACCTTAAGGCAATGTGGTAATGGAAGCAGCATTTGACCTTTTGTAGCGGGTTCTGTAGCAGGCAAAATATTTGTTTGGAGCAGCCACTGACCCTTTGGAGCAGATGGCAACGTCTGTTAGCACATCATTTGAGAATAGAAAATTGATTGCATCTTTAATGAGTTCATTTATGATAGTGACCAAGGGTTCTTCTTTGGCACTCAGGCATATTACTTATTACCATCTGTCATAAGAACAGATAGGGCTTAAAAAGAATGCAGCCTTCTTAAATAAGGCTCTCAGTGATGTGATTGGCCTAAGCCATTTTGGCGCACGTTTCGGAGCAACCAAAACAGTGTTTTGGAGCAGAAAATGTGGCCTTTGGAGCAACCAGAACAGCGTTTTGGAGCAGCAAAAGCGGCTTTTCGAGCAGCCAAGACAGTGTTTCGGAGCAGCAAAAGTGGATTTTGGGGCAAATATTCTTAGGAAAATAAAAATATTTGTTTTAAGTGCGGTACAAACGAAGGGCACTTTGTGTTGTGTTGTGTTCTGGTGTGATGTGTTGTGAAAGAACTCGGTGCTTCTGTTTTTACTGCTCAGACACCCTACAAGTGTACAGTGCTGTAGGCATTGCCAAGCAATTTCGAAAACCGCTTGCCACCGTTTTACTGGTTCCCGACGTGCCAGATTTTTGTCACAAGTAAGCAAATGTAAAACAATGAATTGCAAGCGTCCCAGCTGGTGCCTCAGTCACGCAATTATGTTCGCATGCACGTGAGGCCAACTTCGGCAGGCTTGCTGTTGGGCATGCTTCGTCGCCCGAGCGCAGACAATGGCTGTCCGATCGAAACCAAAACCATGCCCCTCAGCTCCGTCGCTAACTTATCTCCAAAATTGTACACAAAATGTAACTTTCGAGCACACGACAAAAACAGTCCAGTGGCGCGTTCTTGCCAGGCCGGCAAACAAGGTACAAGCTAAACACAAAAAATAAAGAATCTGAGTGCATTGATGCAAGACATTGCGAGCCAGCCTCAAAACGTTTTTGGAGCGCTTTGTGCAATGACTGAACCCGAGACAAACAAGCACACTGTGCGGGTTCAGCGTGCAGACATTGCCTTCTTTGCTTTAGCTCACTTTTCTTCACCGACTTTCTTTCACGGCAGATTTTTCACGTACTGAGGTCCCTCTCGAAAGAAGGCCCACTGATAGGAATCTAGATTGTCAATACTTTGACAGCGCAGTCTTTGAATTAAAGATGGATTTTTGTACTAACGTATGATTTCAACAAGAACAGGAATGTTGATGAACATGCGGCAGTACTCAGTTTCATATTAGAAAGTACCATGTCTGCAGTGATGTGGGGACAACAACATTCGACGTTGTGCGACCACGGTGACTGAAAGGCAGTGACCAAATATAGTTTTCCCACGGCCACTGCTTCAGCTCACAAAGTAACTCCTGCCGCGAAAAACGTGGTTTCGTTTCACAGCATGACGGCATGGCTGGTATCCGGCACGCTAGCATCGGAGCGTCTGCACACATTCGCGTCTATTTCTGAAAATATAAAAAAAAAAGAAAAAAAAAAGAGACGAGAAACGAGACCCACAAGACGACAGCGTGAAACGTGAGACGCCGGGAAAACCATGCACGACCGGGTGGACAACTGACGCACGGTACTCTGTGTCAGGCGGCCGCTTGCACCACATAACACACGCCTGCTCAATTACAGTACTCAGTTTAGTTTCGGTTTTGAAAGGCGACCTAAATTGGTCCTTTGACACAGGCTTGGCCAAATTACCCATATTTTGGCAAAATGTAACAGGATGTAGCAGGGTTAGCCCCTTGGCACAGTTTGGCGCAATTGGCGCAGCAATCACATCACTGGGCTCTTGTCAGAGTAGGTTTCCTTTACAATTGGTATTAAAAAACGTTTGAAAAGTGAATCATAGCGCAACACTTCCCTGGGATAAATCCTTCTCTCCCCTCTCCATTTTACACTCAGTAGTTTGTTTAGCCTGTAAATATAATTTCTGTAAAATGCCAGAAAGAACCAGCATATCCGCTAACACATCTACCAATAAAAATATGTTTTGTAAATTTAATGAACCTACCAAGCTCAAGATTCCAATATCATAAACTGCGAAAACAACCACCCAAAAATATTATAAAAGCCTTCACTCATGCTTCGAAGGTGACACTGCTCTTTAGTGGCGTACAAACCAGAGTTCTGTCAAAGTTTGCTGCTTTTTCGATCGACAGCTGCACGGGAACTATTGAGACTACCGTAATTATTTATAGACAAGTGTTTTCTTTTCTCTCTTTCTCTGTTCAGTTTTTTTATTTTTCCTTAGAGATTACTTTACAATTAGGACAAAGAAGGTCAACCTGTAATAATCCTAAGCATAATTTGCGTGCCTATTGCGCTAAACCAAGCACTCCGCCAGGTCAGTCGCTGCACTTAACACTCTGGTGCGATGCGGTGAAGAGGCGGTTAAGGTTGACGCAAGCAGCTCATGTACCACGGTACTCTGCAGTCACGGAACAAAGGCATCTGGCAGACATGGTAATCAGGTGATCTTACCAGGAGTATGAGACCCTGGTTTTGTTTTATCACAGTAGCAGCAATCGGCACTCTTACTATTTCGCAAAGTTTTCTCAGGACTCTTACATCGATGACATCCTCTGGAAATTTAGACAATGCCGGCGGTCAACCAGCCAGCGCATCAATCGGTCAGAGCAGTTGGTGCACAGCATCATCGGCTCTGGTTGGTTGATTCGCAGCATCAAAGTGTGACATCATGGCATTCGTCATCTTGTATGTGTTCTTTCATTGACTAAACCAATTAAGTGCAGCAAATGTCCCATGACTTGCACTTTTAGTGTGTGTGTTTGTGGTTGTTTATGACTGTGCTCTTACCTTCGACTGTGCTCTGACCTGAGACAAAACAAACTATACAATGAGTAGAGATACTGTGAAATTCATATTTGTAAAACTTTTCTTTCCTTCTATTTCTCTGAATAATAGGGTCAACCAAAATTAATATTAATTTTTTTGCTTTAAGCCCATCCCCGCACAGGTGTGGCATAATTCTTAGAAAAAAAAAGGCACTTTGGCGCAAGAAGCAGCAGACTTGCATTCATGGCGCAAGCTCTACAATGAGTGTTATCACTGGCAGGCTCCACACAAGGCAAAGGAGAAAGTGCTCAGACGCCCATGTGCTGCCAAGAGCTGAAAACAAGAACCTCCCCAAATTGAGGATGAAGCACGCAATTCTGTGCAGGTACATGAATAAAAACTGTTATAAGAATAATTGTCGTAATTACCCCAACTTTTACAAACATTCTCAAAATTTATGGTTAGAATGAATGTAAATACTGTAAAATATGCAACTTTTTAGGAAGGTTGTCTTTTGAGGGCTTGTTGCATATGGGGGACGTTGTGAGCAGCACCAACCAAGGCATTTAATGGCTATACGGTATTTCCTTTATGCCCAAACATTTCTCTACGATACCTTTTTAGGTTCTTCCTAGTGTTTTTATAAACGTGGTAATAAACACAATCTAGAAAACAAATTATGAATAATATATATATTAAATAATATAAACAAAACTTCCAGAAAAAATATATATATATATGTCGTGCCCATTTTTTTTTTTTTACAATGAGACTACTATAAGCCATAATTTGATGAGTAATACTAACTAGTGGCTGATTTAAATACTTCTAAAGTGGAGGTGAAAGTATGTTATTTACTTGAGTCTTATGTGCAATTGCACATACATGGGATGAACTAACCTGAATTGAAAAAGTCCGAGAACAACTAAGCACTTCTTACAAGTCGTGAATGCGAAAGCATGAATGTCGTTCTTCCGCTCCTTTAGTTTGTCTGTGGCTCAGTGGTGTGGACGGCCACGTGTCGCCGGCAAATGGCCGAACGCGCGTTTTCGTGAAGTGGCTGCGCCACGCTGAGCTCGGCCATGCGCCACCGCTCCTTCCTCTTACCGGCAGCCGCGCTGTTGCGTGCACTGCGCCGCTAGGGAGAAGGCTCTTCTGGTGGCTTTTTTTGGAATTAAGCCGCACGAGAGCCAATGGGAACCTCGTTCCTTGATGACGCGCACCAGCCAAAGGGAGCATAATCCATCAGAAATTGGCTTCACTTGGGAAAGGGGATTTTATGTGCCGTTTGCCCAACGTTTGGCGTGGTTTCAAAGCTGATAACGTTGGTTCGCTCCATGGGTCAGTTAATGCTTCCACATTAAAAATGAACTCCTGCAAGTACAATAGTCATGCAATACTGCAGTTGAGACGGAGACAGACATGTTTTGGGCCTAGCTGCTGTCTCGGTCTCCTCAACAACTAAGGGATGTACTGTTTACGCACATGGTATGAACAAGTCGACATCCCTTGATTCTACATGATGCAAAAGTTTAGATCACTCATTTTGCTTCCAGGCACCATCCATTTCAAGATATACTCCCAAATGTTCAATCACTTTAATCCATATGGGAGTAGTAGATATACTGGGGTCAGAACCAGCCCAAAGGTAGGAACTCAAAAACTGTCATCGATTACAAAACAAAATACTGCTTGCAATGACGTGTAACTCGCTAACAGTACCAATCTTTGTGAAGGCATCCCATGATATAAAGTGAAAAATACTGTCGCAGGTTTCACCTGACACATACTAAAAAGATTTAATTAAATTTGTCTTGTGCATTCTAAATGCAAAAGTCATGGTCGTGGAATGCCTTGTAAGGTGTTAAGGCCCTGCCACATTGAGGAAACATGGCGGCGACCGCAACACAACATGTTCATCAACAGTTGATCAACTTTCTTCTCCGTCGCCCTGTTGCCCGACAAACCTGTCACATTGCGGGAACATCAACACAATACAGTAAACAGCAACCATGTTGCCTCAGTACGACAGCTTACAGGCAACATAAACAGCAGAAACTTCAGTTCGACGACTCGTGTTGCCTAGTTCGGTGGATGAGTGAACTTTGTGCCGTCAACACGAAAACACAGATAGCTTCGTTCGCAGGGTTCCCCATCAATAACATGCTTTTAACAGCTTACTCAGAGTGAATTCGTTTCACAGTTTGAGTTTGAGTTTTCTCCCAGAATGCATCGTACTTGCAGAGTTTTGCGCGTTGAACTGGACTCAAACGAATTCGCCAAGTGCACCGAGTGCAGAAGACTGATGCTGCCGCCCTCTATGTTGTAGAAAAAGTACCGACCTAATACCGAAACTAGCGCTTTTCTGTTCGGAGTGATGGGTGGGAATGCGACAGTGCAGTCGCTACCAACGTTTATCTACAAACGTTGGTCGCTGCAACCTGTAGTTAAAAGTTGCGATGAATGCAAGCAACTCGGCTGTCGTACAGATAGTTACAGACGGCGTAAATTCCGCAACCAGCTGTCTACAAAGCAGCTGGTTCCGATCTTTTGATTCTTATAACCGCTTACACTGAAGAAAACTGATAATGCTGTCCGAACAGAAGCTTAATCCGTTTGAGCATGGTATTATGCGTGAACCACTGAAAGGGTACGGCTTAAAACTAATCTGTTGAATAGCCAGCAAAACGTTTCGTGGGACTTTCGATTTCGATCGTCATTACAGGTGGATCAGGTATTAGCCTTGGTGAGGGCGTCAAGAACGAGAGCTTTCTCGAACAAAATACGACGGGACAAGTTAGCTGACGTAGGTAAATGTTAAACATGATGATGTTGCCCAAGCCTTGAGTAAAGTCACTATGTTTAGCTTTCTCTGATATGCTTATTGGGCACTCAGAGGTTTTTGCTGGAGCAGTTTTGTCGATAAATGTTCAATTTTTCTCTCGCACACGGATGGTGATAAACATCTCGGGGGCCGCTGATGCGTTTGTTCTGAGCATTTCTTTACACACTGGTATACTTCAGCATTCTATGGCAACAAAGCGACTTAAAACCTCCAAATAAAGCATGGTTTGTCAATTGCTTCCTTCATGAAATAGCGGACGCTCACAATTCAAGCTTGTGTTTTATTCTGTTGCCTGCGGGACGCGATTTCTATCAGAAAATATACTTTTTTCTCTTTCGGTTCCACGACACATCGTAGCAGACGAACCCTCGTCGTCTGCTTCCACTCCTCGCCAGCCTCGCCGAAGCGAGGCATGACAGGATTGCATTTTGACGCACTCTCGATTTTCTGGGTGCAGCGGGTGCATGCACGCGTGGGGTGTCGGCACTGAAACAAACTGGGAGAGTGCAACCACTGGTAGAGTGCCCGCCGAAACGAACCCGCTCTACGCCGCAAGTGGGCACGCATGGGCACGAGTGCCGTGAAACGAACTTGCTATCAAATATAGACCTGGAAAGCACTATTTAACAATATTTAAGGCTGGCATGCAGCTAAAATATAATTGATGAATGTTTTCACTGCATAATTACGGAAAGCGATTGTCGAAATAAACGCAGCTACGATTCTAGCCATTCACACGGTTGTTGCAATTAGAACTGCCGAGAGACCAGCTTACATTACTGCTGGTGAAATAAAATGGCATGCCTACTCACCCGTTGATAAAATTTAATAAAAAAATCATCCACAAAAGTGAGTAATTCAAAAATCCAAGCATGAAAATGACTGCTCTGATCATGTTTGTTGATGCTTTGAACTCGAAAACAGCTGCTGCCAGACACCTGAATTGTTTAAAGAATCCCCAGGATATTTTTGGAGAATGAAGCGATCATATAGCAGGCGCAAAGAGCAAGTAGACAGCATTGAAAAATACTTATTCCACCGATCGTTTTGAAGGTCTACAGTGTCGGTGTCACCATTTTTAGGCACTCTCAGTTCAGCTCAACACCACGCTACAAAATACACTTTAGGGTGCTGCTGGTACTAACACAAATTTACACTACAAATAGGAATTGCACAAAAGACAGACCTGGACAGAAACACTTTATACGGTGGCATAAATCACAAACATAGCAGCAATCTCATCTTTTTCGCTTAGGGCTAGATGCTTCAACAGCGAATGATGAACATTTTGGTAAAGTAAAGAGTGGAGAATACTCTCCCCTGTTAAGTTTTCTAGTTAGAATCACTGGTTGATGTCACATGCCACACACAAACAAAGGTAAACAATCAAGATGGCAGAGTTTTCCCCATGTTAGCCACACCATCAGCATGGTGTGACAGGGCGTTCTCCGAATGTCGAACAACAAATCGACAAACACGGTTGCCGGGCGACAAAAACATATTTTAGCAGTTGATGGTGCCGCAATGTAACATGGCCACTGAAAACATGTTTTCCCCGTGTTGAACAGAGTTGTCCAACTGTTTCCTCAGTGTGACGGTGCCTTTAGGAAAGGAAATCCAATTTTCAAAACAAATAGTGTGTGCTTATACAATCTTGCTCAAAGAAAACAGACCTACGGGAAATCATTTCGAATCAGTTTGTCTGTCTAAATTTTGCGCAAAAATTTTCAACACATTCTAACAATTATGAGTCCGAGGGTTTGCCGAGGAATTCCAAATGAAGGATTTGGCTCGGTCAAACGGTGGAAGTCATCGAGAGGACTTGCCTGTGGGATGTCTCCAGCCTGTGGTGGTCTATGATCTCCTGCACCGAGCTCTGCAGTTCCGTGTCTTCTTTGGGCAGCAGGTTGTGATCCACTAGGGTCAGGGACAACTTCTTCTCAGACTGAAGTTTCTGAAGGACACGAAAGAAAGCCAATCGAGCTTACAAGCTAGCTCCAGATAAGGAAGTCACAAAATGGCCACGTGCCTATCGTGAAACTCAATTTTGCATTTAGTGGAGTACTGAAAAAGCAGAGTTAGGACCTCAAAATACATTTCAGAGCTTTAAATTATGTGCACGTACTATATTAAAAAACAAAAATGAATAGTTTGGTTCCAGTATGAACAGCAATGCTCAGATCCACTTCGTATGAGAACAGGAAGAGCATAGCTTAGTTTTGTTAGGTCGAAAATAGCTCACCCCCAAGTCGATTTCATCTCTGCAGATAACCGAGTCAAGAGGGATGTCCACTTGCTCGAAGAAGTAGGTGATCTCCGTCCGAAGCTTAACGTCCTTCCTTGCAATGTTCAGCACGGGAACCACCAATATGTTTTTAACAGGCTGCAGCTGCGAGGAAAAAATGACAGGAGTGGGCTTGCTATCATCAACGGACCTAGTCTTCTGGGTGAGGAGTCGTAATCAGCGATGTTCAAACATAATTTGACAGAGGAATTTTTCAAGTGTCTTCGTATAGATATAAAAGAAACCAAAGCTTTATAACCTCGTCTTTCTTAATTAAAAAGCTTCTTTTTTTTTCTTTTTTTTACATTAACAACGTTTTCCAGACCTCCAAGACAAAAGCATGGTTAAAGAATTGAGTGCCATCCGTAGAGTGAGGGAAGGCCGTTCCCACAGCGATGATGGGCTATCACGAACACTACAAAAAGCAACAAAATATTTTTAAAAAATTAGAAAGAACAGTAAGAAAAAAGTGAAAGCCGTGAAAGCCCTGTAACGCCAAATTAGAGCGCAGCTCTTGAGGAGTAGGGAAAGGTACTGAGGGGGGGGGGAGAGGGGGCGGGTCATGTGACCTCGGGGAGGGGGGGTCACGTGACCTCCCCCCTCCCCGAGGTCACTGAAGGTACCCGAGGTCCTCCCAAAGGAACCCAAGATTCTCCCGAGGTCCTCCCAAAGGAACCCAAGATCCTCCCGAGGTCCTCCCGGGGTCCTCGGGGGGAGGGGGTTTGTGGTTACGCCGACGCCGCTCAAGCCGGAAACGGGCGCCTAAGAGCTGCGCTCTAAAAATGAAAGCCGTTTACAACTCCCTGTAACGCCGGATTAGAGTGCAGCTCTTGAGGCGGAGGATGGCAGAGTACTGAGGGATAGCCATAGGTGACTCTCTGAGGTCACGTGACCTCAGGGGGCGGTTATGTGAGGGTAACTCTCATAACCCTCGTGACCCTTATGAGGGTAACCCTCGTGAGAGTAACCCTCGTGAGGGTAACCCTTTTGAAGGTAACTAACCCTAGCGAGGGTAGCGCTCGTGACCCTCGTGAGGGCAACCTGCGTGATCCTTGTGAAAGCAACCCTCGTAACCCAGTGACGTCATTAAAGGAAACTACCCATAATGCAACGCACGGTTATGCCCCTTGCATGCAATGCGTTGCATGCAAATTTCGCATGCACGTGGCATGCACTGTGGGTTGCATACAATGTATGGGTTGCATGCAACGCGCAATTACACCGCATGCATGCAACGCATTGCATGCAAGCTTTACATGCGCGTTGCATGCAACGCACGGTTACGTTGATGGCGACGCCGCTCAAACAGAAATGGGCCCCTAAGAGCTATGCTCTAAAAAAAGATTAGCTGCAATGTTGAGGTTAAAGGTGACTACCATATATTTTTCAACAACAGAATTTTTTTTTCCCGCACCTGCACGTAACCTAGGGAGCGGCGGAAATTTTTTATCCAAACTTTGGGTACAGCGTTTTAGAAGGGGTGTAGTGGCAAATGCAGCGCACTCTCCGTAAAGCCTTCGAAGCGGATGCCACTGTGTGGCGCTGGCGTAGCTTCCCCGAGCAGTAGCGCTATCAAGATGGGGCATCGGCTACTTGCTCGTGGTCCTATCTCGTGATGTTTTTATGACAGTGCACCATTTTATTAGCTCTGTGTTTCTCACACGGAACGAAATAGTTTTTCAGATGCTTGAAAGGTGTCATGCGGTGGCGATGTGTTTCTTGGTATTAAACACGACACAAGTGGCAAGCTTGAAACACTACACGGCTATGTTGCTACAACAAAAATAAACTACACATAGGCAAATGCTCAGTCAACTCAGTCTCCACCCGAATGTAACTCTAGCAGTTTAAATCAGATACCAAGTTTCAGAACTTGGCGCAATATGAGTTGTGAGTAATGTCTGGAAAGTTTCAATTAAAAAAGGTCCATTCCTAACAGCAGATGCAATCCCCGTCCATTCATTCACATGCTCTGTTGGCTGCTATCGTCATCTAAAGCATAAACGCTCAGTATTGAAATCGGATCCCAACGGCTACCTTTACATTACGACGTAGATTAAGGGTTTGGTGATGGGTAGTTAATTATTTAGGCGAGAAAAACACAGTTGCATTTCTCTTCAGTTTACTTCTGCTCGAAAAATAAAACCTACTGATGCACCAAAATTATTTTAGTGCCATGTTCTTCACTGGCGGCCTGGCTTGGAAGTTGGAGATGAAAATTCAAGCTGTGCCTGGTTCCCTTAGCTCAATGTTCATATATGCGGAAGTTGCTGGATGCTCATGCTCTTAAATTCCTTGTTTTGCCACAGCAAGAAAAGCAACAATGAATTCCAGTACATGTTTTGACATAACTGTACCACGTCAGGGTAAAGAATAAAAAGCAAGATGATTTCAATCATAATTTAAATCATGATCTAAATAGCAACGATTTGGCTATAATGATATGAATCATATCAGTTTGGCTTTAATGATTTAAATAGCACAGACTTGGCTATAATGATTTAAATCAAACACCCAAAAGAATATTGAAAATATTTTATATTTAGCGTTTGTGTATTACTGTTTGTCTCCCATGGCATTTATTTTGTATTTGAAGCAAATAATGATCAAGCATAAGGGATTTATATCAGACAGCCATAAAAAGAACACATTTAGTGATAAAAAAATCACTCGAATTCCCAACTGGAAATTAAACCAAACAAATGTAATTTAACTTTTTGTTTTTAAAAAAAAAATTTTTTCCTGATTACAAAAACACTTATTTAAACTTGTAAACGAATGCTGCTAAGAACATGACCAAATAAATGAGGGTCAAAAGTTCCAACAATATCACTTTCCAACGGATCAATTATAGGTAAGGATGATATTGAGCTAGGAATCTCTGCCTCACATGCACCACGAAAAGAAAAAAAAAAAAAATACTAGCTTGAAAACATGCACATGCAGAGCTGCATCCGACCTTATACAGGAAAACCTCGTTATAACAAAGTTGAAGGAGCGATCGTAATTATTTCGTTATAACCATTAGTTTGTTATAGCCAATGTTCATTTCTTCCCTAATAGCAAGCAAGGGGAATTATGATTGCTTTGTTATATCCATTAGTTTGTTATATCCCATTTTGTTATAACGAGGTTTTACTGTATATCCTAAAACCGAGGCAAGTAAGAAAAACATTACGTTAGGCAAACACAATGATGATAAAAAAGACTCGAGGTATACCTAAGCACCTTATGAGTTGTGAATGCAAAAGCATGCACGTCATTCTTCCATTCCCTTATTTCGTTTGCAGCATATTTGCATCGACAGCAGAGCGAGCCCTCTTCCTCGCCGCTCTGACCTTGGACGCTTTGTGTTACCGCCGCGCCGACGGACATGCAGCGCCATGAGGTGGCAGTCGTTGGAACTGATGCGGAGTGGCCAATGGGAGCCTTGTTCCTTGAAACTATGAAGCCCACCAGCCAATGGGACTGAAGCCGAAATCCATGAGCTTTACTCCGCTCCTTTGAGCTCGGGGAAACTAAGTGCCGTTGTCTAGGCTTTTCACGTGGTTTCATAGCTGGGAGCTGGCATCACTTGGAGAAAGGATTTAAGGTGCCGTTTGGCGCCGCTTCAAAGCTCGTGACGTCGACTCGCTTCATAGGACCAGTTAATGCTTTCGCATTAAAAAATATAATAAAGAAGATAAAAAAAAAAGGCTCGAGGTACACCCAAGCACTTCTTACGAGTTGTGAATGCAAAAGCAGCCACGTTATTCTTCCGCTCCCTTATTTCGTACGCAGTGTATTTGCATCGACGGCAGGGCGAGCCCTCTCCTCGCCGCTCTGACCTTGGTTACACAGCACCCGATGGCTACTAACGCGAGAGAAAGCAACCAATGGAATCGTTGTCACCTCCAGTTGTCGACAGCAGCGTCACATGCAACCGTCCGCTTTTTTCAACGCAACGCCTCCCATTGGCGCTGGCCTTGCTTTTGCCACTACTCTCCCTTCTAGAACACTATATTTTGGGAGACCAGGTGGTTTGTAATGGGCAAAGACTGTTTTAAAGGCTTAGTAAAGAGCACTTCAATTAAGTGCCTGCAGCCATTGAGCAAGAGGGAGTACAAATATGGGTCAGTCATTAAATAAACAAAAGATTTACCAGGACTGAGGCAAGGATTAAGTGGATTGGTGTAAAAACAATTAAGACTGTGCCCGAATAAAAAAACAACTTCAAACAACTAATCAGCGACCTTTAACTGACTAATTAATTAGTCACTATCTATGTTGAGGCTCATAAAATAGTTGAAGTACTGCAAATTTATAAATGTAACACCATACGTTTAGAAAACACAATTGCTGGCATTTGCATGGCCTAGCGATGCAAGGAACAATATGTTTTAATTGACTTTTTTTAATTCAATCATGCTTGGCTTGGCACACATTCAAATGTCATGGGCTGATTGTGGGAATAGAAAAGAGGGCAAAAAGGAATGCATACATCTTTTTACTGGAATGTATACACCTTTTTACTGATGTCAATTTGCTAGCTACAATAGCAATTTTAATAAAAAAGTGAGAGATGTTATATTATTAAAATTTCTTTTATTCAAAAAGAACAGTGGAGATTAAAAAAGCAATGTGGTTGTGTACAAGTTAATTTAAATAAACAATGCATTGGTCTACATAAAAACGTAGCACACCAGAAAGAACAGATGTGTCACCAGTAATTAAATTCTTGATGCCGTGCTTTACAGCGACAAAGATGATGCCCATGACAACCCCACCCTACAGGAACAGGGCTCACTTTGTATTGTTTAATTTGTTAAGAAATCAGTTGGAGATTAATGCGTTATTTGACTATAGGGTAGGTATCTGCCTTATACTCTATACATAAACAGGTCACGCAGGATACCATGTCTCCAAGTGGTATCGTAAGCCATTTGTAAGTAAAAAAAAGACAGATACGCAATACTGCCTATTCACAAATGCCAAACTTACAAGTCTCCAGCCGAACTAAATGGACTACAATGAAACCCGTTTAGAACGAACCTACAAACAGCGAAATATTATTGATATCGAACTCACAAAAAATTTAAACAAAAATGCATGTAAAGAGTACTTTG